AGGGGGAACAAACTGATTACTTGATTACCAATTATTCCTAGTGATTACTGGTGATTAGGGGTGGGAAGTTACCGTTACGTTCCCGGGTAAGTGGTAACGGTTTCGTAACCATCTCCGTCCCCAACCCGAGCCCTAGGGTCATCAAGTCCTTTTTTGAAAAAAAATTTTTTTTATTGCAGAAATAGACTTTTTGGGAAAAAATAATTTTTTCCAAAACACCCAAAAATTTTGTTGCAAAAATTGTTTTTTGGAAAAAATTTATTTTTTGTCAAAAAGCCTATTTCTGCATTTAAAAAAATTTTTTTCAGAACACAATTTTGGAGTGTTTTCGAAAAAAATTATTTTTTCTCAAAAAGTCTATTCCTGCAAGAAAAAAAAATTTTCGAAAAGAAATTTTTTTTTCAAAAATAGGACTTGAGGACCCCACGGTTCGGGTTTCATGATTGCTCGTGATTACTGGTGATTACTAGTGATTACTGGTGATTACTAGTGATTACTGGTGATTACTGGTGATTACTCGTGATTACAAATTGATTACTAGTATTAGTAATCAGCTTGTTCCACCTTGATTCGTAATATTAAACTAATCTTAAATTACATAATATCTCTAAATATGTACGCTGTCACTTATTTACAGGAAGAAAAATTTCTATCAGTAACGATATGCATATATCTCTGTTCAAAAACTAAAGAAATGCAAATATTATTGACACGAAAATTATTCCAACTGTCACACGATATTTGAGCTCATGTTGGGATCAGAAAGAAGGAGATCTCTGTAAGACTAGCAAAAGTCTATAATGATTCGTCCCCATGAACTTTTGAAGGCGAGTTATGATAGGCGTCCTAGTTTTTTGACTTATTTACAGGTACTGTTCCAAAAATAAAATCATGGAATTTCAATCTAAGTTTTGCCTATAGATAGATCTAATGACTCTTAGAATACTCTAATAGTTTTAGTGGGCATGGATGTTCCTTCATCAAAATATAGAATTTCCAAAAATAGTCTTTTGTCATAGGCATGTCATATAAAAGTCAGGTTCAATCGAAAATTCAGTAAGTCGACGAGCAAACATTCTTTGCGGCTGATATTATCAAAAAATTCTAAGAGTCATTAGATTTATCTACAGACACAGTTTTTAGATCGAAACTCTGTCATTCGGCTTTTTCGAGAACCACTGACAAATAAGTCAAAAATCCAGTGTATTTGCTATAGCTAGGGGCCAAAGATTCATGGGAACGAACGACCTTAAACTTTTGATAGCCTAACAAACACTCCCTTCTGCATCCAAAATGAGCTCAAACGTCGAGTCTCAGTTAAGATAGTTTCTTCGTATGGCACTTAAAAAAGAAAATTTTTGTCACTTATTGATTAAACAAATATTTAGTCTATAAAAGAATTTTGACAGTTTAATGAGTTTCATCGTAAGCTCACTTCTGAATTAAAATCACTAGGATTACTGTATGAATCTCTGTGATTATACAAATAATGCGATCGGGTATATGACGATGAAAATGCAAAACTAGGTGACACGTAAATACCGGCACCATATGCTGCACCATTTATCTAATTAAATAAAAACGAATATTAAATAAATAAATAAATAAATAAATTCTTTTTACTAAATATCCTCCTTTTCCAATTTGTAAACCCGAACGAAGAATTGAATGCCAATTTTCTTGTGGTGAACCATGAAAAGCAAAAATACTTCCTTTTTCAGCTCGTAATTTTTTAAAATTAACATGTTTAACAATATCTTCATGTTTTATAAAATATTGATATTTTGTATCAACATTTTTAATTCGATAGTTTTCTGGAATTAATGAAAAATGATAACGATTTGTTCCCATTAACCTGAAAAAAAAAGAATCTCATAAAATTAAACAAAAGAACAAAAATTTTTTTATTATCTCTTTTACCAGTGAAAAAAAGAAAAACCCCATGGATGTTTTAATTCAATCATACTTCTTAATGATATTTTAGCAGCTTCATATTGTGTTATTGATCCCATTGCCATCATACCATTTATTATTTTTTTTAGTTCTTCAATATTTTTTTCTTTCTAAAAACGAAATCAATCAAGTAAAGAAAAATAAATCTTTTTTTTTTTTGTATTTCTTGACATTTCCGTCTTGATCAAGTAATGTTGTTGATGTATTATATGGATTTATTAGTTTTGGATAAGGATCAAGAATTAGTGCATGTCGAGGAGAATAAATTGCTGCATTAACAAGTAAGAGAAGAAAGTCTGCAATCTAAATAAAAAATTTTTAAAGATTTTTTTAAAGAAATAATATCAAACAAACTTCAATCGAAAATATTGATGGCGGAAGAGGATCATTACGAAATTTTGAATCCATTGCATTACTAAAACATTCATAATCATCACAGATTGTTGGCTAAAAAAATTATTCATGTGAATTTAAATACAAAAGATTAAAAAAAAGAAAAAGATTTCATTTTTACTTTCGAAGCTTTTTTATCACTTGAATCAAATGTACGTTTTCCACACATAACACATAAGGAATTTAAATTTCTCATTCGATATTCAAAATATTTACAAAACTAAAAACAAAAGATCTATTTATATATAATGTTTGAAAAGGCATCTACCAAAAAGAAAACTATTCATCTGGACTATAGATAAACCAAATGAAATGATTTTCTTGTCTAATAATAGAGGATACGTTTATGTTTTTATTCATCAAGTTAAAGTTTAAAGATAATCATGAAAAGTATAATAATCGAATTATATACATAAAAAATCTTTACCATTACAGTTTTCTTCTTCTTATTTTATAAATTTTTGCATGATATTTTCGGCAAATCTTAAGAGAGGATCCACAAGTTCATCAAACAATCGAATCACTCGACAAAATTTAGATTTTTGATTTGATATTCCCATCATGTTTAGCATCATCTAAAACCTCAAAATCCAAATTTTTCGTGCATTTGCTTGAGCTGGTGAAAAGTTAGGTCAATTTTACTATCAAGCATTCACGAGATTATTTGAAAAATATGATCAAAAATTATCAATATAAAGTTGAATTATTTTAAACGGCAACAAATTAACAAAATTTTTAGTGTACTATACCAAAGATAGAGCATCGAAAGCTGAACAAAATGACCTATTTTAATATTATATTTCTATAGACTGATCTATAGTTATGAGATACTGTTCACGACTAGTGATTTTTCGAGTGCAAATTAGGTCAATTTTTTGCAGTGTATCAACCAGAGATATGCACGGGTCGTTACGTAGTGCCCCGTACTATGGTGGAGAAAATGAGTACGTAATGTGATTTGTTCAGCTTTCGATGTTCTATCTTTTGGTATATTACAGTAAAAATTTTATTAATTTATTGTCGTTTAAAATAATTCAACTTTATATTGATGATCTTTGATCATATTTTCAAATAATCTCGTGAGTGCTTGATAGTAAAATGGACCTAACTTCTCACTAGCTCAACCAAATGCGCTAAAAATTTGGATTTGGAGGTTTTAGATGATGCTGAACATGATGAGAACATGAAATCAAAAATCTAAATTTTGTCGAGTGCTTCGATATTTAGCATGGTACTCGATGGTCTCATGGAACCTCTCTACAGTAATTGGTACGTTTCTTCAAAGCAATTCATTTATTACTCTTCAAAAATCTTAATAAGAAGTCAACTGATAAAACTTGAAACTTACGTATCTAGTTTCTCAAGAAGTGTTACATAAATGGGCATGCATCAATTGCTAGAGCATGATATTCAAAATGACATTTTTTTTCTTTATTAACATTAGATTAAACTTAAGAATTGCTTCGGAAAGCGCATTCGTCACTGATCCCAACTGACATAAAGAATCGCTAGGAGTCTAATAATATTTAATTCTTGAAATATTCTAAACTTTGATTAGAAATTTACGGAATTAGTTTATCCCTGCTTATAAAAACGCATGTCTAGTATTTAAAATTACCAGACTCTTAGCGATGCTTCATGCGAGTTGTGCTCAGTATTGAATGCTCTTTCCGAAGCTATTCTTATGTTTTGTCTAATGCACAATGAAGGTCTCAAAAACGAAAAAAAACTTCGCATTTCCAGTTAATTCTGAAACTTTCGTTTTGTATTTCATGAATTTTGGCTACGACTTCGGGTAGAGAAAAGAACACTGATCATGATCGATATAAACAATCCACAAAAGCTACATTCTTCGTTTAAAAAAAAGCCATTTTCGACATCATGCTCTAGGAATTGGTACATCTCAATCGACAAACATTTGTAAAAAAAGAGGATGACACACATGAATGACGAAAAGTACAGAACGAAAAAAATTGAAACAATGCAGCAGAAAATTATGCATTTTATTTTTCGAAATTTGAAAAAAGAACTTTTTATGGATTCGATTGGAAAGTTATACTTTTCATGAGTTATTTATACATTTTAACTTTATGAATACAAACTTGTAAGTCTGATCTATTGTCACAATAAAAGCCACTTAGTTTAGTTTAACCACAGTAGAAATGTAGTCTTTTTTTTTTTGGTAGGTGACTTTCCAGAAATTATAGATTATTAAGAAAAACTTTACTTGAACAAGGTAACCATAATTAAGTTCTGGTAATTGTTTTACATCCAGGCCATAATGTATTTTTGTATCCGAAGATTTAGCACGAGGTAATTTAAGTAATCGAAATTTTTTAGCAATTTTTTCATTACTCTTAAGAATTTCATAATCAACTAATTCGTTGAATACACTATTATCATGTGTTGAAAGTAATATTTCATAGTGTGTTCGCTTACTTTTATCAGATATAAGTTCTAAGCTAAATTGAAAAAAAAAACAAGTTTTTTGTTGGAAAAGATAATTAATAGAATTTTAAATCTCATACAAATATTTTAAACGTAGATCAGGATTTAAAGCAGCACGTGATAATTGCAATGCTTCCATTGTTACTTGAACTTTTTCGAAAAAATTACGAACAAGTCTGTAGGAATAATTGTAAAAAAATTTCTTCTAGTTCTATATTTATGTTCGATTGTTTACCGTTCTATGAACGGCACTTTAGTTGCATTGGCTGGATGACATTCACATGTTTGATACACACGATTAACAACAACTTAAATCAAAAAGATTATTATATTAATCACATATTACAAGTTATATATGATAATATTGATAAGTGAAAGTCCTTAAAACAATGATGATATTGGTCAGAATTTCAGATGATCAATCCTAAACTCATTTTAGGCAGATTAGATTAGCCGATTAAGGTCTCCCCCCACCCCTCTTCAAAAACCGATCTCAGCCTAGGTACGTTCAAATCGCATGAAATTTTCAGGATATGTTGGGTTTGGAGTGGAGAAGCTATAATAAAATTTTTAGCCCTATATCATGACGTTCGAAGGAGATATTGATCAAACAAGGGTCAAAAATATCTGATTTGGCATCCCAAATTTCTCTGTCCAGTCTCATTCTATATATTTAATTTTTTGTTGTTGAAAAGAGCATGTTAGGAAGCAGTGCATGATAGAGCCCTTTTTTAAAATTCTTACTTTTTAAGTGCAGAAAAGGAATCACAAGTTCAATGACTTAAAAAACACTCTAAAAATGGCGCTCTAATTATATAAGTGTCTATATATATAATAAAAACAAAGCTTAATTTAAAAAAAGGACTCTATCATGCACTGCATCTTGACATGCTCTTTCAAACAAACAAAAATTTAAATACATCACATGGACCTGGACTGAGAAATTTGGGTTACGTGTTTGACATATCATGAACTGAGAAAAAACGAAAAAGATTTTCGTTTTTTTCCAAAAACAGCTTAT